TAATTTTGGTTTTATTTTCAGTTTTTGGTTTTTAAGAAACTCAACCGAAACCGAATCGAAATAAATTTGGTTAATATCAAAACCAAAAAAATAAAACCAAAAACCGTTGAAACCGAACCGAATTCATTTTTCGGTTCGGTTTTTGGGTAAACAATCGGTTCGGTTAAAAATACCAACCCTAGGCACAAAACCCGCAACTGATCGGGCAACCGACAACCGACCCGAAAAAATGGTATTCGGTTCGGGCTTAACGGGCTTCGGGCTCAAATGTTCGGTTTCGAGCTTGGACTGATCTTAAACGGGTCGATGTTCGGTTGCTAATCCAAAAACCGAGCAACCGAATAATAAAACCGAATAAGAAATATATATAAATATATTTTCACTCCCTTTTCTTAAACCTAACCCTAACCCTCTCCCTTTCAATAAAATTTTCTTTCCCTCCTCGCCCAGATTCAGATCTGCCACTTGCCTTCCATAGATAAAAAAAAATTTCATCTCCGCCAAATCCAATCTTTAATCTTCCTTTTTTTATTTCTTGTTCTTTAGCTGCTTTTCACTTTCTGTTCTATGCTTCTATTTCTTCTCCAATTCTCGTTCTTCTCTTTTATTAATCTCACAAGCTCTATAGCTCACTCTTTCTCTATATTTCTCTTTTTAATCTCTATCTTTCTACAAGTTTTATAACTTGAAAGCCTAATCTCCTTCATCCCAAAAAGGTGGAAGATGTAACCATAGGATCTTGCCGGATCAATAGCGTCTCATCGTTGCCGACAAGCAACTCAAAGATGGGCAGACCTTATTCGAATGCAATATCCAAAACTATCAAAATCTTGTCTTTTGATTTCTACAGTTGTGTTTAGAAATTTTTTTTTTTTATGGAAAAGGCTGGATTAGAATTTAAAATGAGATTTCTTTACGTTTGCATTGGTGTTGACAACCTTGAGATTGCAGAAATTGAGATATGCTTGAACGACTTTTGATTCTTTTTTGGATTTGGCACTTGGGAAATGTGATGGCTTTGGGAAATGTGATGGCTTTGGATATTTATTTGGATAAAAAAATTGAAGAAAATGGATCATCAAACATTGTAGGAAATTTGGGCCACAAAAACGGAAGGCCCAAACCCAACAAAGTCTAAGGCTAGAATTGGTAAAAAAACCGAGATCGATACCAACCGAACCGATTAATTCGGTTACAAAATTGAATAACCGAAGTATTATCGGTTCGGTTATTGGTTGTTATTTTATAAAATAATCAACCGATAAAAACCGTCAATTTAGGTTCGGTTTCAACCGAACCGAACCGATGCCCACCCTAGTTGGAGCCACCATGGGTGCAATCAGCCCTTCCGCTAACCGGCTTCGTGACGCCGTTTGTCATCGGCTTACGTGGCACTGCACCTGCACGCCTCTGCGTTTTTTGTTTGCTTTTACTTCATTTGTTTTTAATAATAATATATATTAAAAAATTAATTAATTAATACTATATAATATACATACCTTTAAGTGATATTTTTTAATAAAATAATGATTTTTTTATTATAATTAACAATACATTTACTTCAATAATCTTTATAAATTACTTTTAAATTTAATTAAATTATCTAATTAGTAAATTTTTTTAATATATTTCTTAATTTTTTCATTAATTATTATGAAATGAATTTTTTAAATTTAAGTGAGTACATATTAAAATTGTAATAAATATATTTTTTGTCATAAATTGATATTGAAAAAATAATATTATCTTTTAATTTATTAATTATTTAATTAAATTTATCAATGTGACAATGATCCTAAAATCAATATTAATTTTTATGTTTTTCTATATAAATTAATGATAAAAATGTGTATCTAAAAGCAAAAATTAAAAAATTTTGATATTTTAAATGTTATGACTTTTTGTAAAATTATCTAAATAACTTTAATGAATATTTTTTTGTTGATTTACTAAAGATACTTTAATTTTTTTATTATCATTTATGATATTTTAATTGCATTTCAAAATTGTTTAAAAAACAATTAAAATGTCAGATATGAAAATGAAAAGACTAAAATACCTTCAGTGAATCAACATAAAAAAATTTTAATAAGGATATTTAAATAATTTTACAAAGAGTTTTAAAATTTAAAATATCATATTTATATCCTAAAAGACACATTTTTATCATTAATTTATATTAAAAAATATAAAAACTAATATT